CCACAATCTCTCAACACGTTCTATTGAGTAAGGTGGTGAGAGGAGCAAAGGTAGAGGTATACAGACAAGCAAGCTGAAGAACTGGCTAGGGGCTGGTTTTGGGGTGCATGCCTGGAAATAGAGAAGCCCAGGATTCAGTCCTGATAGGGACATGCAGGCAGAAGGATGCTTACAGGTCCTAGATTTTCTATATGGAAGACTTGGAGAAAATACACATGTATGAGCTGTGAGTTACATCTGTATGGCATCTGGATTATGAACATGCTAAAGTGGTTTGTTTTGGACTGCAGGATAACACGTAGCCTGCTGGGAACTACTGCTTTGGCTGGGCTGCTTCACTCCTGGCACTTGTGTTCAGACACAGACGCACAGCAGCTAGTGCCAGAGGTGCAGGGGCAATTAAAACTTTTACATCTCCTCCTTCAATAAGTCTGCTTCTGGGAGTGGAACCAGGAAGTCTCTACCTGTGTCTGAATGAGTTGCATGGTGAGACTGTTTTGTAGCAGCTTTTTCTGATATGCCAAGGAAAGTTATGGTGAACCATGGCTGTAACTATATTTGTTTTAATTAAGTAATCTATTATAAGATTACATATTGTTTGCCATAACATTAGTGGAATATATCTTGCCAGTATTTGTTGTCTTTACTTAAGTTTCTGTGGTTGCTCTGTCATTTTTTAAGTCAAAGTGCTCTGAGATTCAATAGTTAGCAATGAGAAGTTGATATTTAAGCTGAAGCATAGAAATTAAACATCTACTCCAAGGTCAAAGTTAAGAAAAACAGACAGAAAAGAAATCTAATTCCTGCTTCTTTTCCCTTCAGGTTAGATGATTTTCATTTCCTCTCCCCCATCCCTGCAGCCAGAGTGCTGATAAAGTAGGTAGGGATGAAACTTGGAATATTAATGTATTGACAGTATGAATATATTTGCTCATGTATCTAGAACTTAAAATTTACCTTGGCATTCTTGCTTTCATTTAATGACTCCTTTGTTCTTTGTCTTGATACAGACGTGTAGGAGAGTCTGACTACAGTGATGGAGAGGAGGATTTTTACTATACAGAAATCAGGCTGAACACGGACTCAGTAGCCGATGGCCTAAGTAGTCTTTCCCCAGTCTCTCCATCTCTAGCATCTCCTCCTTCCTTTCCCACCCAAGATGCAATCCGTCCTGAAACTTCCTGTGCCAAAAGCGAGACTAAATTGGTGACACCTCTGAGCCGCTCAGCTCCTACCAACCTCTACCTCGTACACACGGACCATGCTTACCAGGTAACACTAGGGAGAGTGAGCTCCATGGGTTACACTTAACGTGTCGTTTATCTATAAAGAAATGTCAGATCACAATGTTTGAGGTTTAGAAAGCCAAGTGTAGTTTTAATAGGTTGACAAGTTTTGAGTGCAGCCTAAAGGGTTAATCTCATTTAAATTTAGATGTCTGCTTCTGAGCTAGGTGGTTGGTTGTGTTTCCACTGTAGCTGGTGGATTTTGCGATGCTATTTATCCAGCCACACGAAGGTGCATACCAGGTTGAGAAGAGTTGCTCTCTGTATCCCACGGCCTGCATCAGTTAATTCTCCACTGACCTAAGGAGGCTCTATGGTGATGTGCTCAGTTGTGTTCTCCTGTATTGTACAAATTCTCAATTTAGTCAGCCAAATTCCTCCCTGAGTCTTAATTTCATCTTTGCTTGTGCTGGATGTGTCTAGGGATGCCAGAAACAATTCATTTCCCTTATTTGTACAGTCAGTTTGCATACGTGAAGCAGAGCAGGAAGCATCAAAAGGCATATATGGTGCCCCACTCTTAGAGATAATGCTTTTCAAATGACAGAAATCAAATCAGATCCAAAACCTGCTGTTCCAAAAACTTCCAAGTTCAGACAAAGCATTAATATTAAAAGTACACTAGAATTTTATGTGTTTTGGTCTTGATACCATATGAGTAAAAGATTAATAGAGGCTTTGAAGCAGCGCAGTCCGTGACCTGCATACGCACTGGAGAACTGAACTCTCTTCAATTTATCAGATGCAATAACTTTCATATACACCCTTGTGCAGATTAAACCTTTTTGGTTTGTATCTGGATCAGACCCACTAAAAAGGCAGAGGGAAGCATCCTGGTGGGATGCTGAGCGGAGGCAGGCCTGCCTGCCTGCCCACCCTGCTGCCCCAGTTCCTTCTGGCAGGAGTGCTGTGGTCATTCACTGCCTTCCGTTTGAAGCGGGTTGTGATGAAGCACTGCTGGTACCATCTGGAGTTGCCAGTTTTTTCTTGATGCCTTTCAGCAAGTTTTTTATATTTTATGGAGCTCAGCGGACGTTTTCTCCATGTGTCTGTGGTGGATCCTCTTGGAGCTGTCAGCAGGCTCAGCAGCCCGCAGAGCATCGCTGCCGTAGAGCAAGGCATCTGGTGGTCTCATACTCTTTTCCTTGGAGAGACTCCAGGGGATTGCTTCCGCACTTGTTTACTCTGAAGATTGTCTTTAATGGGGACTATCAGGTTGTCGTTTGTCATCACTCCTCTCTGCCTGGTGGCTCAGGGAAGCACTCTCTTCCCTGAAGCTGTGAGACTGCATCGGCAGCCTCAAACACAAACACTTCTTAAGTAAGTGTCTTGCGTTGCTGTCAGGCATAGGCAACTGAAAGACAGAAGTAAAAACTCATTTTAAAAGCAGGCTCTTTGGAAGTTTAAACCTAGGAGCCTTTCTTTGGCTGTGAAGGCTTGAAATTCAAGAGTCAGAGTGAGCCTGTGTTCATGGTGGCTGCTTGGACTCCTGCTAGACAGGGTAACTGTGAATGTATGAATTTCCTGACTCTAAATTATATGGGGTTTAAAAAGGGGCAGGGGAGAATTCCTGAGGGCTCAGAGGCCAGAGAGAAAACCAAAGGGAAGGCACAAAATGAAGATACATGATGCTCTGAGCTTGAATCTTTGGGTGTTGCACCCCAGGGCAGCACTGAGTATTACAGCCCAGATAAGAAGAACATATGAGTTCAATGGACCATGAGATCCTTCAAATGTTTGCTTTAGCTTAGTTTTTGGAATCCCAAGGATGATATTCAGGTCTTTGCTTTTAACAGGAAAGACTGTTTTAATTGGGGTGAATCTTAACACCATTTATCTGACAAATGAGAAATGGCCAACCCTTTTTGATTGCTAACCTTGTCCCAGAATCCTTACCCACCAGTCTTCAGTTGTTTAAACCAGCTGTCAGAAGTTTAAATCCCGCAGTGTTTATCACTGTGGAACTGGTGATCATTTTAATATTTTTTGCTGCTGACTGTCATTATTTAAAAAGTTATTTATATATGATACTTGATTTTTTGTGGCTTTTTATCTGATCTAGCTTTTAAGGGTTTGTGTGGATTCTTGTGAGAGCTATTGTCTTTCTCTAAACAAGGTTTTAAGAACAGTGATATATAAATATATCCTTTTCTTACTGACTTATGCATTATTATCCCTCCCATAAGGATAAAATGCTTGTAACCACGCAGCTTTGTTCCACCTTGGAAAGTCTTTTGTAGATTTACAGTTTCGAGAAGTGAAAGATCCCTTGAAATGCTTTGGAAGAGGAATAGTTCTTCTTACTGGAATAATATTTTCTTTTCACACAGGCCACTCCTCCGGTGAACATTCCAGGGTCAACAAAATTCACTCCCAATGGCAGTAGCTTTAGCATCTCTTGGCAGTCACCTCCAGTTACCTTCACCGGCATTCCAGTAAGTGAATGACACCAGGAGAAAGAAAAGAAAGAAAGAAAAAATAACAAGTTTCCAGAGCTTTTTTGTTTGTTTATTTCACAGTGTCTCAGGATAGTCATAAATTTGACATAACGGGCACTAAAAAGAAGCAAATTCAATGTATGCCTCAGTTTGCCAGCTGATTGACAAATGGCTCAAAAGGCTGATTTTAACACGTTTGCCAGTCTCTGAATTCATACAGTTAATTATTTTTTCGTATCAGTGTCTACAAGCAGAGAACTGGATCTACAGCATATATATTTTAAATTATGTTTACAAAAGAACATTCTGGTAGATGCAGAGCCTGGCACTATATGCTCCTTTTTGTGCAACTAAGAGATTTCTTACAGAACTAGATGGAAAATAAGCGAGGTAATGGTTACGCTAAGAGGCCAAGTGGATTCAAGCAGTAGGGCTGTTACCTAAATGAACTCTGAAAAGGATGCATATTTGAAAGGCAACTGAAAGAAACAATAAGATGAAATGCGAAGTCTGATTCTAGTAGGCTACATCTATGTCTTCCCTAAGGATATCAGAAAATTCTGTACTGCTATACAGAAAATATGTTCAATACATACTGCATTTTTATATTAATACATATTGGAGTTTGACACATTTTTAATGAAGTTGTATTGGATGTGTAGTCAACTCTGAGCCTTTCTTCAAAAATGCTGATATACAAGGCCTAATTTCATGAACAGGAATGCAGAAGTGGGACTTTTGCTTAAACATGGACTTCCAGTAGTCCTAAAGGTAACACAGTTCAGGTGTGGGTATACTGCAGGGGGAGTTGAAAACCTTTACAAAGACTTTAAAGGGACTAGGTTTCCAGTGCCTAGCATGGTGAATACTAAAAGTAAATGCAAATCACTGTTTATGAGTAGTGGAAGATCGGTATAACAAATAGAAATAAATATTAATGTAATGGATGCTAACCTTTATTGGAAAGCATTTTGTAGTATAAATTGATATTCTCTAATCATAAACCTTAATCATAAACATTTCATTTAATATTACACTTCATGAATTTATGAATCTTTAAAGTGTGCTTATAAGGCACGTTGCTCATCCAAAGAACCATACAGCTTTTTTTCTCCTGACAGTGAATATTAGGCATGGCCATAAGAGATACTATTTCTCTCCCTTCTCTTCATCACGTGAATCTCCAAAGCTTCTTACTGTCAACCTTTGGCAAGTCTTGGAGATTTTCTGCAGAAGCTGTGGCATCCTGCAGGGCTGATAAAAAATGAAAGTGGCTGAATCAATTACATTGCACTCTGCCAATGAATATTTATTAAATTCCATCAAGGAACAGCTAACAGTGAAAGACATCATGCTGGCAGCAATTTGAACAAGAGTGCCTTGACAGAGTGTGCTATCCATAAAGTTCCTTGAGATTTGATTTCCCAACAATGGAGTTGATACAGAGTAATTATGAAACTGGCTCCTTTTGTGGAGTAGCACAAATTGATGCCAGGAGTGTTGGGAATCTAAAAATGCAATTAACCACATTGTAAATCAGACGCTTAAGAGGACAGGATTAGACATGTATGCGTTGAGTTTATTGTTCAAGCAACAACGTTGATCTGTGGCTGTAGAGTTGAGATTTCTCAAAAGAATTTAAGAAATGCGAAATCACCTTCTGAGAAGTGTATGGAGATGCCAGTGATTTAAGTACAACTTAAATATAATCCAAACACAAAAACCTGGGGAAGCAGTGATGATGGCAGAATCATAAACTGCTTAGGGAACCGTATTTAATGCCTTGATATCTCTAACAAGTTTATAAGGCTGTTTAGAAAAAAAAAAAAAAAAGGAAGAATTAAAAAGCAAACCATCCAGGTTTGCACACATTTGACTGTTCTGTCATCAGTGAGGTCATTTATGAATTACAAAGGCTTGCCTGTGGTGGAAAATTATGTGCAGTAAGTGAAGGTGCAAATGCAAAGTGATGTGAAATAACTGTATATTAAGTGAAAGTTTCATTTCTCCTGTTTTTAAGTAAATTAGGTATAGCCTTATAAATACAGGGCTCTGTCAATTCCCACCCCTACACTAAGTGTTACTGCTTTAGGAAAGCTGTAGGATAGGGGACTTTCTCCTTCTCTTAGGAAGTTTATTTAAGCCTAGAGTATGTGACAGAGCCAGCATCCTGTTAACTCATGCAGTCATATATGTATTTGGTCCCTGAGATGAGATGCATGTCTGTAGCACTCAAGGGAACTTCAGAGAGCAAGTCCAAACCATTACTTTTTGCCTAACCCATAATATTTATTTAAGCAGTTTTCTAAAATGGCTTTGGAATACTCTTTTGGCCTGGACAAACTGCCGAGCAGTAAAGGATTAGGTACAGCTTTGCAAAAGCATGTAGGTCTACACATTCCTTCACATCAGTAGTGATGTTGGAATGGGATCATTTTGTCCTTGACCTGTTAGAGGGCTGTTGAATCCTGATTTTGAACAGTCTCCTTTCTAGGCCTATATTTCAGCAGTTAAGTCCACGATTCCAAATTTCAAAATAGTCTTCTTTTGTGTTTTTTTTTACACCTGCTTTAGGTGTTTCCCCATTTATTCCTGTGGAGACGGAATTTTGATGACATTGAGCACTCGCTGCCTGCTGTCCCGGGAACTAGGGTTCAGACAGACACCACAGCTTGCATTAAGTCCTGACTTTCAGACAAGTTTTCAGCAGAGCAACACCAGAAGGCCTGTGTGAACATGAGTGTGCTTATCAGCAAGTTCCTAAGCACCTCAAAACAAGCCAAATGTACAGCTGGGTCAGGCAGGGTTGAGTATGTGGCTGCTTTAGGCTCAGGGGTATTCACAGCATCTAACTGTAGGCATTGATCTTGAAGTCTTGTAGTCATAAAGGAGGAGAATTAGGGGAAACTCCAAAGTCCTTCTGCTTTGCACTCTGAGACTTGCCTACGTTAGATTCCCAAGGCAGATGGGAAAGACACTTTTTCTTGCTGTTTTCCCAAGGTAACTTTGCAGGTGCAAAGGAGGGTTGAGTGTTGGCACAACTATGAGTCATGGCTAGGTGTAAGTCTCTGCATGAAGCAGAAAGGACAAGTTAATGTTTGTTCTACCACTTAAGACTGAACTAGGAAAAAAAATAAGGTACAGCACAGGGATGTACAAAGAGGACAAATTAATGTTTCAAAAGGGATGAGCAACAGTAGAGTCTATCTCTTGGTACTGGAGGATTAACAACTATATAGTTCCACTTCTGTGTAATGTAGGATGAAAGACTTATTGAATGCCAGCCTGATCTCTGCTGTGTGATAGTGATTTTTACCTGCTTGCTTATAAGACCTAAGAAGGTTGAACAGGATAGAAGTTTGATGATCTGATGTTTACAGATCAAAAATCTTCTCTGTAACCACAGTTTCTCCTAGGAGATGTAACTGGAAACCCCAGATCCTCCCTTCAAACAAACACTACTCTTTCACATTAGTTCTCTGCTTTAGACAAGCAACTCAAATGTGAAAAGCTTTCAAGGGCAAGGATTGCCTTCTCACGCCCTCCTCTTAATCTGCTCTTAGTGTGGCCTACAAAGGAGTACAGCTAACTGGTATTGTTTAGACCTCCTGCAAAGCAGATCAAGATACACTAGAGCTCAACTTCAGTGCAGTTTAGTTGCCTTGGTATGCCAGGCCATGGAAACCATCATGCAGAGACCCTCTGTGGAGAACAGGAGAATAGATGCAGTCTCCATGCTGCAGTTCTTCTCAAGCCTCTTCTATATTTGGAAGCCATCAAGATAACTGCTTGTAACAGAAGGGGCCATCAAAGTACTTTTTTGTTCAGTGATAACCCAGGAATATGTTTTGTATCCATTAGCAGTAGTAGATATAAACATTTTCTGTTCTTTAAAATGTTTAAGAACCATAGCAGAATTGACTGGAGATCTCTGGTTGTGGGTTATGACTGGAGAACGGTGTGATAAATGTGTGCAATGTGTGGTAAATACCAAAGACTAAAAAAGTGTTACTGCTTTGCATTTTATCTTCAGTGTTTCAATTGTTCTTAGGTAAAACAAGAGAAGTCGTTGATAAAAGATAAGAAAAAAAAAAGTGGTAGACAACAAGCTGCCCTCAATATTATGGAGTTGTAGGACAGAACAGAGCTAGTGTGGTCTCTGGGTATGTAAAATATGACTTACGGTGAGCAGGCAGAGAGAGGAAACTTATTTCAGGTTTTGGAGATGTATTTCCTATATCATTAATGATCTAAACTTGTTCAGACTGTGAGCTGCACATGCAGTTAAATCAGAAAATTCTGTAGTTGCCAGCCAAGAGTAAAAGTTGAAAGAGTGTCTGCACTCCATTACAAGTGTTAGTTTTTTTGCTACTGTGGAGTAGCTATAAAATAGCCTTTATATAAAAAATCAAAGCACATTCAGTAACTTGCTTCAAGTCAGGTCAGTTCCCATTCTTCCAGATACTATGAGACTTCAAAAGGGCAGGAGTGAAAAGTCATAGCAGTGCAGGGAACTATGACAGTATCTGCAGTTACTGGCTGCACGAGTCAGTGACTCAATGCCAATTGAAGCTTGCTGTGTTCTGTACATAAGAAAAAAATGTGTTCATCTTTTTTTTCTGGTGTTTTTACATGTTAAGTGGTTGTAGCCTTCACCTAGGAGCAAAAAAAGACCCTAGCAGTAAATAATTTAGGAATTATTTAAGGCCAAGCTTTATACTATGTGATTACTCAAATTATGTTGCCAACCCTAAGGATCATGAAAGGCTTATTTGGCAAGTCTCAGAAGAACAAGCTGCACCCTTCACAAAGGAAGACAGTGACTGAAAAGGTTTAAAGTGCAGAATAAAGGAAGTAATCCAGTACATCTTGTTAGCAGCCTTGATCAGAAGGGCTGCTTTGCACTCCCAGGAAAACCCTGAGGGCCACATCATAACTGCCTTGCAGCAAACCCCCTTCTGCAAGGCTGTCTCTCCACAAACAGTGCCAAAACACAGGTGGGAGCTACACATGAAATCCCTTTATTTCTCAGGGTGTTCCTGGTATTGATCTCAGTACAGGGCGGAGTTTATTTTTCCCATTATTTTCTCTGCTTACATTAGAGAGAGTTTTCTTAAGAGGTATTAGGACTTCTTAAATAGGAATGAATGCATTTTCTGTATTTCCCAGAACCTGCAATGATGCTGATCTATATTCTGGATTGCTCTGTTAGGATGACTGGAAGTACAGGGAAACAAAATGGAGCAATACAATGCACCTAATGCTAAACGGACATCTTTCCAAGTAGAACCACAACTTACTTACATTTGTATAATAATATATAATAACCTTTCCTGGATATCCTTGCCACTCTGCATCATGAATTGCATTTTCTGGGAAGAGTGTTTATGCTGCATCAATATGTGTGTGTTCTTCATAAGCAGCTTTTTTGTCTGTATTGACAGGTCTCACCAACTCATAATCGTCCTGCAGGGAGCGGAGAGCAGAAACAGTCCCACACAGTTCTTTCATCACCGCCTAGAGTAGCATTTGGCTTGAGGTATGGGACCATTAACTCCTGCTGACAGGCCAGCAGCCTCAGAACTTGGAGGGCATTTAATAAATAAGATATCAATGGCCAAAGAAACAGAAAAACCACACCACCAACCGTGATTGCAGTTGTCAGGCTGTTTCTTACTAGAACGCTTGAGAGTAAGTGTTCTGGACCTATTTTGCTTTTCATTGCCATCAAAGGTGAAGGCTGGGGGAGAAGAGAGTTGTTGCAAAATGAAAAGGCAAACTGTGAAGCAAAACTGCAGGCCTTCTGCCAGGTGTGTCTGCAGTTCAGATGCAGATCCAAATGGCCCTGTAAAGCAATGCAGCCCAGATTTACTGCTCCAGCTGAAGCATCCTGGACTGCAGTAGGTGGCTCTGCTTTCTTCCCTGAAAGGCTGGGCTGCCTCATGTATTTGTCACCATTCAGTCAGTATCATGTTTGTCTTCGATTGCATGGTAAGAAACTGTATCTGACAATACATTAGATCAAAGCAAAGCTTTTTATGCCTTGTCTTCCTGGAGGTAAGCTACATGCAGTCACTTCATTAAAGCCAACTGATGGTTGACCAGAGTCTGTGTTTAGAAGTGTTAAAAAAGTTATGTTAAAAAATCAAACTGTGACACTGAAGTTTCTCGCAGTAAAGAAACTCCTTGTTTCTCACAGTCCTCAAGGTGACTGTACCCTACAATGATACAAAAGGATTATTTCATGTTTTTAATTTTCTTCATGACTCTCTGATCATTGGATGTGCTACAAACCAAACTTAGGATCTTCCCACTTCATGGATTGTGTCCATAAATGAATGATCAGTAATAAAAAAATGAATTGGTGTGCAAGGGAAGAATCACCAGGCCATTCCTGTGTGTGCCATGCAGCGTGTAGAACAGGTATTAAATCTGTTACAGTTGCTTAATTTAAAGGCACCAGGAGAGATAGCACAGCTGTAGCACTGCTCCTCAGGTTTGCTTGCTTGCTATGCATTGAGTGAAAAAGTTCTGTTTTAACAGTTCCTTTGATCATTTTCTAAACTTGTGAACTTTTGAATGTGGTTATAAAATGGAAAACATGACAATCATTACAGCTTTGCAAGCAGATACTTCCTGCCTTGCTGACTTTGGGGATGGCAGAGAAGGAGCACACATAAATGTGCTGCAAAGGAGAGCAAGGGTTAAAATTTGTTCTCAGGCACTTTGTTATTCTTCAGTCAAGGAGCTCAGAGCAAACCATACAGGAAGGACTGGTGAGCTCAGGGGCTGGTGGCTTTTCCCCTCTTGCTGCTTCCCCTAGCTGCTGCCTGCTGGTAGTCGAGGTCTGCTGCTCCGAGCTATGCAAAGTATTTGTGCCACACCTCCACAGCAAAGAGGACCTCAGCCTGGGGTGAGCTGGGCTGTGTTGTGGTGTAGCTATGACTGTCTCCTGTGGCTTGGCACTTAAGGTGGCTGAAGTACCACTTACCTAGACTGGGTTTAGTTGCTGGCTAAAGTCAGGGCTGTATGTTCCTGGGATCATCCCCAGAGCAGAGGAGCAGGTGCTGCAGAGGCTGTAGAAGTCAGGTGAGGAGAAGGGCTGCTCCCTCAGCTGTGGAGTCGTGGCTGAATTTGTGTCCAGTTGACTCAAAAACAACCCTCATCCCTTTGAAACACCAGAGGGTTCTCTGCCTCCTGTGCTCCCTTGAGATTGCTGTCCTGATCTTAGGGTGATAAAGCAAAGCTACGAAAGCACCTCATTAACAAACTTCCCTTTCTCTCTGACAGGAAGCCTAGAGGGGAGGGGAAAAAGTGTCGGAAGGTCTATGGGATGGAGAACAGAGATATGTGGTGCACTGCCTGCCGGTGGAAGAAGGCCTGCCAAAGGTTCATCGACTAAAGATTGAAATTATGCAGAGGATTTGGGGATGGGGGAGGACAACAGCAGAACCAGATTGCTGCAGCTGCACTGTATCACTTCCCATTTTCCCTTCAGTGATGTGGTGTCGGGGGTTTTGGTTTTTTGGGGTTCTTTTTTTAAAAGAGCTTTGTATTTCAAACTGAAGCACTTGTAGCCAAGGAGAAGCACTAATCAAAACCTGTGTGGAGCAATAGAGAAAAAATTTTAAAAAAAGAAAAAAAAAAGGCAAAACCAAGAACATACGACAAGGTTCTGTCTTACTAAGTATGGAAACCAGAGCAGCTATCAGTGTTTTTCTGTAAAAGAAAGGAAAAAGTTAAATATTTTGCTAACTCTGTGAGCTACTTGCTCCTTAGGATCATTTTTAACTATTTCAGTCTCTGTGCTGTGAATGTCTGTATTTGCTAAACTGAACAATTTTTTTTTCCTGAAACGAAGATCTCTTTTTGAAAGCTTTCTAATAAACACTTCAGAGTTGTATAAGCTACAGTTTTCTGATCAAAAGCTGTACTAAGACTGGAGACTGCTAAATAATTCTCCTGATACAAATGATCATGATTATATTATATTTTTGGAAAGGGGATGTGGGGAGGAGTTGAGATTTTTGTTTGATTGTTTATAGGAGAAAAGCAAAGTCTGAACTTGCAAGGAGGACAAGCAGTGCTCCTGGAAGATTTTTAAACCAGGCACAGACCAATGGAGTGGAACAAAGTAATTTAAGTACCAAATTGGATTTTGATCCTCTAGAGAAAGAAAAGCAGCAAAGGAACTTCACCAGCAGAGATAGTCACAACAAGAAGTTGAGGAAAGAAACCCAGTCATGCTTGATTGAAATCCATAAGAATATAATGGGAGTCCTGTAGCTTTTCTTACTGCTCTCCCATCTCTGAGAGATGATGAGCAGTTGGACCAGCATGTCTGTTGCTGCAGGAGGCCTGTAAAGAACTGGTAAATGCAGCCGCTAGAATTATATGTAATAGCTATTCAGGGACACAATCCAGCCCAGCAGTTCTGCTCTTGCTTCCTTTTCTTGTATTTGAGAGATTGTTGTTAAGATAATGGTTTGCTCAGCTTCCCCCCTCCCCACCCCTTAAAGTTGCTAAGATTTATTTGATGCAAAAAATTGTTAGAGAAAAGAAAATACTCCCTTTCTACATCATCTCGGAAAAAAGAAGTACAACAGCAAAGGAGCAACGTGTTTATGGTAAAAGTCCATCTCTTCACTAATTTTAATGTGTGAATTAACAAGTTTCTCTGCTTGCAGTACTCGGATAGATTTGGGTGCTTTAGTTTCTCTGTCCATTAGAAAGTATACACTGAAATGTGGCAAGATGGTGTTCTATCTTAACCTGTATTGAATTACCATAAATTAACCATTCTTTCAATGCAAAAATAATTAAGGATTTATTCGGTTATGAATGTGTATGGTTAAACAATACTTGACTGCTTAAAGAAAACAAGACACCTTATAAAAAAAATCGCAAGACAAAAAAGCAAAATTTTCCTATTAATAGAGGCACAGAGGCCCACAAATTCCTGGATTTCTTTTTTTTTTCTGCCATTTGAAATTAGACTAGATTTTTTTCATTTGGATTGTCTAAGCTGGCTCATTCTCACTGAAATCAGGGGACTTAAATATCTAAGCAGCTTTCTAAAATGGGAGTCCAAAGTTCATTTGATAGCTTTATTAAGCGTGCACTGCTGCTTATGCCTCTGTAAAAGCACAAAATAACAATGCAGCTGTTTGGAATATACACGATGAATGTGGTGAAATAGTACTGAGAAACAACATTTCTAATGGGAGCTACTGAAGGTTATCATCTGATTTACTTTGGAACAACTTAATTGGGCAATCAGATGCCTAATTTGAGCATGCTATTTCTGCAGTTTACAAATGTGTAATTTACATGCACAAGTGGCAAGATACGCTTGCATGCACACAATTACTTGATTTTTTTGTCCAATTGTGTTTTCTAAGTCATTTGAAAGAAAAAAAATAATACTCTTGAAATCTACTAGGACCCTGCAATATGCATACATACATGTGTGTATCAGTATTTAGATAGATATATATATATAAAATTATATATGATATAGTTTTATATATGTATATAAAACTAATCTGGGCTCAACAGAGAGGAGAAAGATTGTTTTTTATAAATATAAAGCCCAAGACAGTGAAGATCAGTGGATATACACAGCCACTGTATTATCTTCTTTCCTCTTATTAAAATGTGGGTCATGGATTTTCTTTGCATGTTGTGTTTTTTCAGTTTCCTTGGTAAAATACTTCATAGTAATTCATAGTAATTTCATCTTCTAACACTGAGCTTGCTGATGGTGTATTTACTTTGATAGAAATGAGCAAATTTTGGGCTTTTCCAAGACACTCCTGCCAATTTGCCCCTTTCCCCCCCATTTTTACTCCAAGACTAATTATAAAGAGTTCCGTAATTCATTTGACTATTGTTAAACTGACAGTATCTGCCTGTGTATTTGTTGTTCCTTCCCCTTTATAGTTTCCCTTTTTGCTTTGGAGGACTTTTTGAAAATAATGTATCAGATTGTATATTGTTTCTATACTGTCATGGCATTGTGAGCACCTTTCCCGAGGGCACTTTATGAATTATTGTAATAAGATTTTATAAATTTCTGCATGGAAGAATGATTTTGTTGCTAGACCAGACAGCCCTCTGGTACAAATGTGATATGGGTTACATACAGTCCCAAAAGCCAGAAATCCTCAAAACAGGATAGAAAATTGGTTGTTAACAAAGCAGGGGACAGAAGATACTTGATAAATCCTGCCAGGACAAAGCTAAATTACCAGCATATTTACACAACCTTTAATCAGCAGTTTTGTATTAAATCAATTTTGCATCTTACGGCTGTGGAATTTTGATTCAAAGGTAGGAGCTCCTTGAGTTACTGGGTCTCAGCCACGGCCAGGGATAGCAAGAGGGCATGGCCATCTGGGCCTGCATGAAGCATTAACCACTCGCTTTGTGCCTGGGACCCAGATTATTTCATGTCACAAGAGTATTTCAGGGCCCTCTGAGATCCCCTTCGCCCTCCTGACACCCCCAGCAAGAACAGAAATGTCAGCAAAGACTTTCTGGTGCTGGCAGTACCAAGTGTAATCTGGAATAACCTCTTCCATTTTTCAGCCTCTTGTTTCAGAACTGCATTGCTGTACTTCTAACATCTGAAAGAGTTGGATTTCTTTGTTTTCCCAAGGAAGAGCTAGCCTGGATTCTGTGGCCATTTCTCGTCGTCATTACATGTCGTTTCCCCCAGTTTTGGTCATTGTCTCTTGACGTCCTGGAGAAGTCAGAAAAAACAGCTGGAGGCATCATGCAGTCTCTGTGTGCTACAGAGATTTGGAGGTGGGATCATTTCTGTTAAGAGATGGAACTTCCTCCTGAGATGCAAAAATGGAAGGATCTGTTTTATATGGTTTCACCAATTACTAGTACTGATGCTGGTAAGAGAATTTAACAACATCAGGATCAGTGTGGAGATCAGCTGTAGAGAAGCCACATATTTTTCTTTAGGAGTTGTCTTGCTATGAAAAAGCTATTTCCCACTTCCCTGTTTGCCCCGTCTCTCAAAGTATCTGGAAAGGGAGATAATTTTAGAAGTGGGAAGTATTAATAGCAATTTTTAGAATCTGACTGTGCTCCAGCTGCTCCCATGTGAAGATACTGGACATTACAAACTCAGATCATCTTAGTCGTAAAATGGGTTCCACCCAAAACAATGTGCCTAATTCTCTAGTGCCTTGCACAAATATAACAGGATACTCAAGATGCAAAGTGAGCAAAAACTCTTCCAATTTGCAGGTTTCCACTTTTTAACCAATACCAGTTTTCATAGAGCAGGTATCTGTTGACATGTAAACGAGACCTGTAAGCCCTGCTTGTGTGAATAAGCTGAGCAGAATGCCTGTCTGTTGAATTACTTCTTCCACGTCATTAGCCTTGTTTGAATGTTAGCCATCTAATGATCTACAGATTCTTTGCTCCCTTTCACGATCACTGGCATCACTTTCTTTATCCCTTCTCCCCTTCCTTCTGATCTTCTTGTTGATATAGTGGCTTGGTCAAAGCATACTTGATCTCTAATCAGGCAACACAACAGAAGGCAAAGCTTTAGCCAAAGGTACTTGTAGAACCTGCACGTAAGAACGAATTCCAGCTCCATGTAATATCCCAGATGTCCTTGTCACTGACTTGTTTTTTTTTTCACTCATTCTCATCCAGTGAGTTGGGATGGTTTTCTGTTTCTTGCTATAGTCTGGGACCAGTTATAAGGGCCCTGCTGGGAATTCAGGACAACCACTGTAAGTGTGGCAATACAAAGTGATTTATTTCTTTCCCTGCCTGTAAATACATTGAAACACCATCTCAGAAGCAGGACATGAAATCAGAAGATTGCTGGCCATGTGCAGAGACATAACAGGTTGCCAGTGAGGCTTGTTTCTGTTGGTTCATACATCAGTCATCTGTTGTTGTTGCTGCACCTTTTCTTAGAAATATTTTGATAAGGAAATGTTTGTGAAGTCTAATCTTGGTCCTACATTTTCACTTGATTCAATCTTCCTGAAGGTGGTAGCACTGTAACTGAGTCCTGTTTGGAGTATGGGATTTAATCTGTGTCTGTCAGGATTTTTTCTGGTAAAGCAACTGTGGGTTGTTGCAAAGCATCAGAGCATAGGTTTTTGTTCTGCTGTAAGTTCAGGAGAGTTTTATGGCACCTTCAGCAAAATAGCAAGAAAGTAAGTAAAGAGCAAAAATTAATCAAGCCGAGAGTTTAAATACATTCTGTATCTGCCAGGTGTAAGAAGCCCTTGTCTGCATGTCTGTGGAGCTCAAAAAGCCAGGTACACCTGTAGTTGATAGTGCCCCCTTGAGCTGTATTTTCTGTCTTAGACAGCAGTGCTTTTGCACTGGCCACACTCCCACTTCCAAATGCAAAATAAAAGATGTGTATCTTCTACTTGCCGATTTTTTAGTTCATTCCTCAAGACAAAAAACACTAATCATGTGCTTTGTGCTTCACACAGACCATTTTTAATAGCAATCCAGAAAGACCCTGAAAACAGAAACCAGTCTGTTTCTGATGGCACCAAGGAACATAAAATATGTTTTGCTCCTGTGCTTGCTCATACTCTCGGCAGGAATTCATTTGGCCAGTCAGCTGATGAAATGTAAGGGAATGTATAAATTTAGTAACAAGCCAGTGTTCT